GACTCGTCCAAGCAGTCACTGCAGGGTCAGCAATGACTGAGCGCAGACAAAAAAAAAAAAAGGCAAGTAAGCCTACTATAAATCACAGACACAATCCAGTTAAGGGAGTTTGTAAGTACAGTTAAACCTATGGTCTAGATTCACCCATCACCCTATGCCTAACTATGCCCTGGCTTAGCATGTCCTCTGAACCAGATCAAGAGACAGGGAAATGGATCAGACATTGTCTGACTTCACAGTTCAACCCTAAGCTACACACATTCTCTTCTTTTGGGATCACACATTGCTTGAGAGCAGCTCCCAGCATCTCACCTCTTCCTGAGACCAGTGGGAGACATCACTCAGCAACATCCAAGAAGCTGCAGATGTTGATATAAAGGAAACATGCTTGTCTAGTGGGATAATTCAAGAAGCCAAGTGCCCTTGTTTGGGGTCCACAATAGTGTCTTTTCAGATGGACTTACTGTACCTGGTCACATCATTCCAAAGACAGTTGTACTGTGGATTAGGACAATACAGGTAGTCCTCATTTAGCATCCACAATTGGGACTGGCAACTTGGTCATTAAATGAAATGGTTGCTAAGTGAAACCATGACTGTGCTTATGATCTTACTTCAGCTTTCCTTCACTTTGCAGACCTGCAAAGGTTGTAAATGTGAGGATTGGTCGTAAAGTTACTTTTTCATGACCACTGTAACTATAAACGGTCACTAAATGAGCCAATCACTAAATAAGGACTACCTGTACCAGTAATTTATACTTAACCTCTTTTCTAATAATTATCTTATCAGAAATATTCATATACCTAATTAATTTAGCTGTTCTGCAACCAACTTCCACGCTCCAGGTGAGGCTTTCAGTGAGTTGCTTACCACAACGATCTCATTTTTCAATTAAAGCGCTGCTGCTTTAGACCCTTTACCAATACAGCTGCCTAACTGTATAGCATATCTGCTCCCACCCATAAAATTGCACTGAAGAATTTTCCATATTTTATTCGAGAGCCAAATCTTTCTTTTTAAATACTTTTCAGAAGGTGATGGATATCCTTTTCAATACCACCTGATTTAAACAGAGGTCACTCCAGGTCCCATACCTAGTCCATCCCTTCCCGCTTCTGTCAGAGAAAAGAAGTCCTAGAGGGGATCCACTCTCACGGAGAGGCAAGCTGCAGCCCTCTAGATGTTGTAACATTTGATGTTGCTGAACTCCAGTTCCCATCAATCACAGACAGAAGGATCACACTGGATTAACTGAGAGGAACACCCCAGCAAATATGAATGGGCAGAGATGCCCAATTCATCTTAAAGCTTCAAGAACAAGAGAAATAAAACACATCTCTAATGTTTATTAAAACCAGAAGTCTGGACCACTGAGCAAGCTCCGTCTTAAGCAATAACTCAGCAATAGTTAGAAGAACATGGAAGGTAATAGGGACCTTCTGAAGAATCCAGAGATCTTTCCAGAGTTTCTACAAGTCTATTCTCCAAGACAAAAGTGAGCAGTCCCTGATTACAGATGACCCCCAACACCTTGTTTTGCATCCCCATGAGCCACTCAGATTTGCAGCCCATTCCCCCGGTTTAATCCTTAGAACCTCCACTCTCCCCCCACAAAAGGCCACATCCAATGGAGTTCCTCTGTCTTCCAGACCAAAAAATGCTCTCCTGCCCCTCCTCGCTCTTAGACTATAGAAGGAAAAAGGAAGTCCTGCCATTTGAAGCTTTCTAAAGTATCCTCCATCCAGACCCGGGAAATAAACTGCTGCTGCCTTAAATACTTAACCACCCCAAACTAATCTGAATTCCAGAAATGTGGTATCAACAAATACATCCAGCCTATATAAGCAAGATGGAGTCCAGTTTGGAAAATCAATGTGGCATTTGCTGTGCTTCTGCTGACTCCTTTCTCCTTCATGTCCAGTTTGATGAAAAGGACTAGAAGCTTGAAGTTCAAAGCCTCAAACAGACACATTTAAGAAGCATCTCTTCAATTTGTATTTCCTTATGCTCATGACTGTTAAGCAGGCAGATCAGCAGTCTCCAGTGTAAGGTAAAAAGAGCTTCAGCCAAGCTACAGGATAAAAAAAGCAGCATTAGTGCCTAATTTGAATTCTTTACACATGTTGCAAGTAGCTGATTAATTACAATCCCAATTGAGACATCACAGATGTGCTTGTTCTTTCTACACCAGCATTCATCAAGCTGGTGTCCTCCAGGTTAACTGGACTAAAATTCCCATTCATGACTGGAGTGGCTGCTGGATGATGGAGTTATAGTCCAGATATCTAGAGTCAGCAGGTTGGAGAAATCTGATCCATACAAACATACGTAACATTCTGTTATAGATAATCCTCAAATTACAATGGTAATTGGGACCAGAATTTCTGTCGCTAAGTGATGCGGTCATAAAGCACGACGTCACACAACCACATCGCTTAACGAAGGCAATCCTAGCACTCCCTATTGCCATCGTTAACCAAATTCCACTGGTCATTAGCCAAGGACCCACCATTCCGGGCTTGGTCCCTCCCAGCCCCGAGCTTTGGTAAGGTAAGGGACTGCCTCCTCTTCAATTCCCCTTCGCCCATCTATCTCCCCCCACATCTCTGCCCTTTTGGCCACCCTGCACCCTGCCTTGTGGAATGGCAAGCAGCTTACGCAGCTCGGGCTTCTTGGCAAGCTGTGGCTCTGGGCCTGCAAGAAGCCTCTGAGCCGCAGTGCAGCACGAAGCCTCAGCCACCTCAGCCCCGCCCAGCAGCGCAGCACGAAACCACAGCCATCCCAGGAAACCCCAGCTGCCCCAGCACCATGACACAAAACTGCAGCCCAGTCCCAGTCGCCCTTGCCACCCTGCATTCCAAGGCCCCTGCTGCCCTGCGCTCTGCCACCCCAGCTGACTTTCACCATCTTCTTGCTTCCACAGCTGATGAGGCGTGCCCACCTGGCCCTTCACAAGGCAGCTGCTGGCCATGTGAGGCCATCTTCCACTGGTCTCGTGAGGAGACCCCCGTGCATGACCTTGGGAAGAAAGCCCCATGCAAAGAGTGCCCAGCTAGAAGGGGTCCTTTTCAAGGCAGGAGCACAAAAGAAGGCCCTAGCTACGCCAGTGCAAAAGAAGGCCCCTTCTAGCCAGGTCCTTCTTTGCACTGGCACAGCCAGGGCCTTTTTTCATGTGCCTGCCTCGAAAAGGACCCCTTCTAGCTGGGTCCTTCTCTCACGCCAGTGCAACTGGGGCCTTCTTTCATGTGCCTGCCTTCCAAAGCCTCACGAGAAGGCTGCATGCAATTTAGACAAGGCCACGTGCGATTTGGACAAGGGGCAGGCGCGGCCTTGGAAAGAAGGCCAGGCTGGGCATGCTTGATCAGCAGCGGGAGCAAGAAGACGGAGAAGGTCAGTTAGGGCAGCAGGGACCATAGACTAGTTGTGCTGTCTTCTCAGCATGAATAACAAAGACACATAGCACTTCAAAACCCAACTCCTGCTCCCATTATAACCGTTGCATATTGTGGTCAACACGAATCAGACAAAGCAGGGGGAAGCATGAAAGAGGAGGGGAGAAGGAGAAGAAGGAGGGTCTATTTTAGCAGTCTTTGAGATAATGAAGCATTCTGAAGTACCTTATACAGCAATTTCTGGCTACTGCACCAGCCTGTAGGTGATGTACCGCCCGGCTGTTTCACTGGGCCGAATGATCTTCACCACCTGAAGAAGCCACCACAGACATCAGAAAAAGAAAATTATTCAGATATTTTTTCAAAGTAATCCCTGTAAGATGGCTCATGGACAGCCAACAAGTCAGGATTTCTTCATGCAATCCATTACACAGATCAGACTAGTTCACCCTTCCCCAACCTGACTCCTCCAGGTAGCCTGGAATTCAATTTTCATACAGCTGAATATTGACTGACATTTGTTGCAGTTGAGGTCCAGGACATTTGTAATATGCCAGGCTGGGCAAGGCTGGTCTTCCATACCCAGAGGCAGTAAACCTTCCAGTATTAAAACACTCTAACTCCCCCCCCCCACAATTTATTTAATAAAAACAATTCTTTTTCTAGGATTTCTAAATCCTGCTATGGTGGGGAAAAGATATTGAGGTTACCTTTTAAAGTATTGCTAGAGTTGGCAGGACCCAGGATAAACAATCTGGTGCCCTCTGGATGCCTTAGAATTAATTCCCACCAGCCCTAAGCCATCTTGGCTAAAAGGACACACACCAAGCTCCCTAATTCAACACCAGAGATGTATTTTCAGGCTCCGTTACTCTTCTCAATAGATCTTTTCTCTCGCTCTCTAGTATGTACTCTGATCTCAAACAGACAGTTAAGCTCAGTATCATATTCCCATCAGGGACGGGGGGGTGTCTTTCCAAATATTTAGGAACCAAGTTTAGGAGAGTTATGATCCTTCTCAAAAGCATATTTTTAATCTAAAGAAGAAATATTTTCCTCTGGCACGTTAAAAGTCAAGACAGGCTATTCCTAGAGAAGAGAACAAAATAATGGAGTACAGTAAATGGGCAGTGATTTTTTCCTTTATCCAAGTTTACCAATGCAAAAACAATTTGGTCCACCTAAGCCCAATATAACTTTTGCCAGAACAGTGTCACCTTCCTGGTAATAGCTCTGACATTCTGTTTGTCAGAAGCAGGTTCTCTATCTAAAGAGGGATCCCATTTTTTAGTCACTGACTGTCTTCACATTTCTCTGAATCTTACTAGAGCCATAAAATAAAATCTGATTTACAGGGCTCTGTAGCGCTTCAGATTCAATTCCAACAAGGTGCTTCAGAGCGCACAAAAGGGCAAGCATAGGCTTTATCTGAAATTAAAAAATCTGCAGATGCGTCTTTTCCCAGAATTGTATGGCTTTAAAGAATTATAGACCCATGCTACTTTCACATTCCAAAGTGCTTCAAAACCCCTTTCTGAAGTTGAAACCAAAGCATTGCAGAGGCCTATGGATTTAAAGGATCACTCAGAAAAAAAAACATGATCTAACAAGAGCCCAAGTGGACTGTACTAAAAGTCCATTTAACCCAAGTAGATGCCTCTGAGAAATACACAAGCCAGAAACAGCCCTCTCTGTAAGTTTTCTCTCAGCATTAGGCTTCCTGAGCTTCCATTTAGATACCAAAATTTATTGCCACTTACAACCCTCCATACATTTGTCAAATTCTTTGGGAAATGACATATTCCCAGCCTCCTTTTCTCTGCTCCTTACCTGGCCTCGCTTAATTCCAAAATAGCGAGCTACAGGATCTCCAGCTTGTATTCTTGGAAGCTGACTCTCCCTCAGTTTACTGACAACAGCCATTAAAGGAAACACTTCATGAAACATATAAAAACAGGACCACCTTTTTTTTCCTCCTCTACCAAGACCACACCATATTTTGGCTGATTTTACACAACCTGCTCGTTTAAGCTAAATAAACTTGGTAATTTGTGGTTTGTGAAGCATAATAATCCAGGGCCTGTTTTAGCATCAAGAGTGAATCAAAACTTCACTTTAAGCCATATGATTCATTTGCACTTAATATGTTGTGTGAACAGCAAATGCATTTTGTTAACCCAGATTTATGATCTGAGCCATGAAGACTAATGCAAGTCAATGGAGCTCTTTTCAGACAATAGAATGCATGCTTACTCATACATTGGGCTTATTCCCATGTCAATTATGCTTCTAGTTTCATAGGCCCTGTCCAAACCCAAATTCAAGAGGACTAGACTATCATTTCAACCCCATATTCATGCTAAAATCCTAGATATATTTGCCTGGAAATAGCTTCCCCTTAACACAGGAAAATGCTAGGCAATTCAACCCCTGTCTCATATCTGAAAGTGAATAGCAACCCAACTCAGAACAAACAGAAAATTGAGGAAGATACTCAGAACAGTAAACATGAAGGAAAAAAGATACTATCTTGCCAGTAATTCTGTCACCTCTTCTTTGGTCATTACAACATGTTCTGGAACCAGCTGTAGTGGCAAAAAGAAAGAAAAGAATGAAAACGCAATATGGAAATAGCTAGATTTCTACTATGCACAGAAAACTCTTCCAGGCAAACAACCACAGAAAGAGCTCTTGTGAACTGAATGAGAATGGAGTTTATATTGTCCCTCCCACAGCACTTCTCACAGGCAACCAATGTCCCACAAAAGAATATTCTCTCTTCCTTCCTCACCTCATGTTCAGTGATGTTGATCAGCAGTTCCTGCTGAAGGAATTGTTCAAGGATGTACTTGGGGGCCATGTCTACTAGAGACTAAAAACGAGAGGAAAAGAAGAGACATTAATGCAGCAGACTGGGCTGTAGATTACGAAAGGGACTTCAATACTTAAGCTCATTAAAGCTCACACAAAGGAGGATACAGAATTCAAGCCTGTGCTACTTTGGATGGGCTATTCAAAGGTATGCTGGCATCCATAAAAGGTGAGAAATGTGCATATTTTTAAATATTAAAATTAAGATTGTTGGGACTTCTATGACCAATATTCTGAGAACTTTCTAACTTGAATGACGCCATTAGAGCAAATGCCTTGGGATGTACCCCTCCCCTGATAGAGGATCACTGCCCCCTGAAAGTTAAAGGTCAAAATCCCTTAGCCAGCAATGAGATTATATCAACATCCCTTCTGCCCATACTTGGGTACCTGTTTGGCAGATGGAGTCATGCCTTGTTGCACCACAATAAGGGCCCGGGTAATGTTTTCCTCTTGCATTCGCTGGCAGTACATCTTGATGGTCTTAATCCCAACTTTTGGTTCCTCTGAAAAGAGATTTTTGTTTTGTTTTTAAGTAGAGAATCACCATTAAATAAAATACCTTGTTCATTAGGTCTGACATCTGCTTCAGGATTAGAATCCAAGATCTCGCTTAATAAATGAATTAAATGGTTTAATAGTAAAGCAGGAAGCTTGAAGCCCCCATTGTTCCAAACAAACATAATTTCAGAGGCTGGAATTTTAGCCAAATGTAATTTCCAGTAGTGAGTGGCAGGATAGTTGTGTCATTGCCCTACCACATAATCCAAAAGAACAGAAAAAGAGTTAAGCATTTGATCAGTTAAACTAATTAAATACCATGCACTTTTATGTACTTAAAAAGCTGTTTTAGTTGAGAAATTAGTATGGCTATGGACCATGAAAGTTATCAGTATCAAATCTCATGTATTATTCTTATAAATATTATGTGAACATTTTATCCATTATGTAAACTTTTTTTAAAAAGGAATTAAATAATGTGTAATCTCCTGTTAATGGTATAAAATTTCTGCTTAGTTACTAACTGGCCTTTAATTTTTTTTTCAGAGGAAATACCTTCAGGAATAATGTGCTCCATCATGAAACAGTTGTTATCATCAGAAGAATTTTACTACACTGCTAGAAATATCCTTTTTGCTACAAGTGTATTGGTCAAACTATTCTCATTTCTGCTTTGCTAACAAATGACATTACAGTGAATAAAAAAATTAATGTGCCGTTTTCACTGTTGCATCCACAGAGTATTTAATAACAGGCAACAACAGATGTCAACTTCAGTCCATTCAATTAACTGGCATACTACAACTAAAAATACACAATACAACAATAGAAGACAGATGTATTTCCTTAAGATACACAGATGATAAAAGTCAGCTAGCTGAAAGAACTGATGAGGAGAGATGGGAAAATTCATTCTAGATCTTAAAAAAAAAGACCAGCTCTTAGGAACCCAAACTGCAAAACAGGAAAGAAGAAGAAAGAAACAAAAGCTGAATAAAAATATTGTTGAATTAATTAAAGTATTGTTGAAAGCAAAATTAATTGAATTAATTAATTAAAATATTGTTGAAAGCAGAATGAAGATGCAATCAAACTGGTACCTGGAGGTAACCAAATCCATTTTGTTTAATATAATCACCTGGGAAAAAGACAAACATCTGATCAGTAGGATCATCATTATGGGCCACCAACACTGTGAGATCAGTACGCCGAGGACGCCCTTCACTCGGCTTATCACCAAACTGGGCTTTGAACTCTTCCAGAGTCTGATCCAATTCATCCTGTGTCACCAAGTAGCCTCGATCATGACACAGCTGATTTAAGTACCAAAAAAAAAAGTGCATTTAAATACTGATATAATATTGTACTGAAGAATGCAAGTAAGTATAGAAGCAAAATAGTGAATCATTCATTTAAGAATCTATATAAAGATGTTCTAAGGCAATTTTCTCCAATACAGCAACCTCCAGATGTAGAGTGACTTTGCAAGCAATCTAAATATGCCAACCTTGAGATCTCCCACTATTTCTTCTACATTTCCTCTCCCTTTTTGCCCAAACACTCTCACTCAAGTAAGATAAATATATAGTCACCCTTGAGTCAAGTTTGACTCCTGATAAGTACTGTATATGGTGCATCAACTGTTACCAGTTTTCTTGGCAACAATTTGGAAATGGTTTGCCTTTATCTTCATCCAGGCTGTTTTCCATCTTCCTAATCTAGCCTACAGATCTAGGATACCAGTAGAGGTGAATATGTGTAGCTCAGGGTTGAACTGTGGAGTCCTTGGGGTTCTCTGAGCTTGGTTCTTTTCTTGCAAATGTTTCATTACCTGGCTAAGTAACATCTTCAGTGCTAGCTAGAATGGGATGGGGTTTGCTCTCTGTTTATATACTGTGGCATGCCCTACCAAAGGAACAAAACAAAACCCCCACCAACACTGGCAGGGCATGCCACAGTATATAAACAGAGAGCAAACCCCATCCCATTCTAGCTAGCACTGAAGATGTTACTTAGCCAGGTAATGAAACATTTGCAAGAAAACAGCCAAGCTCAGAGAACCCCAAGGACACCACAGCTCTTGGATTATTTAATAGTCCTTGATCTGATTTTACTTTTCCAAGATCTTCCAACGGTGACTAGGTGCTACTGTTACCTGATGTGGCACTCGCTGCTCCAATTCCTGCAACAGATTCTGACTCGCCCCATCCAAAATCTACAACTTTATTACAAAGTCACTATAATTTCCTTTTTTTAGCTAATATAACAATGTTGTACCTTTGCTGAAAGCACAATATATTTTTATTGCAAATAAACCAGAAGAGTTAACAATTATCTGTTTTAAAACAATCAAAATAAAACAAATATTGAAACATGCTCTATATAATTTTGGAAAACCGAAGCAAATTAAGAAAAATATAAAATAAAGGGAACGGATTTGGTAAGACGGCATTTCTCCTTCTGACGTTGAGGTCAGAACGGCAAACCCTGTCATCTGTGTGAGCCCACACAACCGCCCTACCCCATTCCCTACTTCCAGGGCCCTTCCTCCTTCTCCTGACCTGCATAATCGTTTTCCTGATTTTCCATAATCGATAGGTCTCTTCTTCGTCGTCCATGGCGCTGCCTCACAAGGCTGCTGCGCCGGTGCAAAGAAAACCCCAGGACGGCTCCGGAAGATGACGCGTTAGGCACGCGGCTTATGGGCAGTATTGCGCATGTGCGAAGAGAGCGCGAGAGAGCAAGGAAAGAAGAGAAATTGCGCACGCGCGAGGGAGAAGGAGGAGGAGAATTTAAGGACACGGGAGCGTAGAATAAATTCCCTTGCTCCGCCTCTCCTTTCTTCCTTCACCGTGAAACTGCGCACGCGCAAGAACTGAAGTAGGGCGGAACAAAGGGACCCTTAGATACCTCACTTTGCGCAAAGCGCAGGCGCAGTAAGGAACAGAGACTCACTAAAAAGTAACAAAAGTCCCCGGAGAGACGAAATTCTTATCAGGATCTATGTCACTTGCACAATGTTTAGGTCAATTTTTTGTTTAATTGTAATGAAAGGATTGCCTGAAAGTTAAATGTGTTTATTTTTCTTGCCCACAATTAGAAATATTTACCTAATTGTATGGGTCATGGGGTGGAGCAATATCTAAAGGTGGGAGGAAGGGGAGACATCCAAATGGGGTTCGGTGCTGATGTCCCAGAGAGCGGGGTTTCTGCCTGGGTATTGTGTGAAATGGCACAGGAGACTTGGCTTGGGAGCATGCTGGCTGGGGAATTCTGGGAGTTGAATTCTGGGAGTTGAAGTCCACACACCTTAAAGTCAACAAGGTTGAGAAACACTGACTTAGAATCTACAGCAGGGTTCCTCAACCTCAGCAACTTTAAGATGGGTGGACTACAGCCCTGGACTAGATGACCTAAAGGTTCCTTCCAGCTAAGATTCTATAGTGGAATATGTACCTTCTGTACTTTAGGACATACGAAGGCCCCAGGATGAAATAGGCTGCCTTTGACTTGGTTCATATATTGCACTAACCCAGTGTTTCTCAACCTTGGCAACTTTAAGATGTGGGGACTTCAACTCCCAGAATTCCCCAGTCAGCACTAAGCTATGGCTTGTTTCAATCATGGATTTCTGAGTAAATCACACCTGGCTGGGATTGGACAGTGAACTAAACCAACCCAAACAAGTCCCATTAAGTGGTGGCCCCAATATAAGAAGCGAGTCCTAAAGACTTTTGGCAGATTTATCAGGGTGCGTATGTTTGTGAGCCAGAGCCCTGACACCTCATACGTTATGCTGTGTTGGCAGATTTATTTATACACAGCTCAAATGTAAGCAATGAAGTCAGGCAAAAATGAAATGCAGAGTCCATTGCCAGTTATAATTAAAACTAAACGTATGTAGAATAGGTGCAGTGATCTGTCACAACAAGAGTAATTGGTAATCATCCGTACCGAGCTTGTGCCTTTGAAACTCCCTGCTAAGTTAGGTCAGATTAACCAGCCCAGATAAAAATCCCAGTTCTCTTGTGGTTAACTTTCTGCTGGTGGGAGATCTATCTATCATCTATCTAATCTATCTATCTATCTATCATCTATCTATCTATCTATGCATAAACATACATAACACTGCTCGTTAGTGTCTAAAATAATTTGATTTAACTATGACTGCATTTTTAATTGTGTCTTTTAACCTTTTCTTTATTGTTTGCTGCCTTGGGCGTGTTTTGGTGGTGGGAATGTGGGGTAAAAATGAATAAAACCTGGCTTCTCTGAGATTATGCATCTCTATTCATCTAGGATCAACTCCACCCTCACCGTTTTCTCAATCCAGGCCACAATGAACAAATCCTAAACTTGGATGGGGCTGTTGAAACCAATCCCGTGCTCCTTGTAGGAACCTAATTTAAAGCGACAGACAATTGTCCAGTCTCCTCGATCGCGTCCAGCCCTTGCTCTCCTTGATGTTCAGTACCATTAAGAAACTGCTGTGAAATGTTAACTAACACTTAATTGGAATCTGCTTCCTCATAACTTAAATCCATTATTCTGTTTACAATGTTGTAGCTTTCTTTGAATTTCTCCTTTTGAGAGAGAGAGAGAGAACAATCACATTTTTGATGATGAAGGTGAAGTGCCATCAAGATGGTGTTGACGCATTGGGAGATTCTCTCCAGGGTATTCAGTCCCTTCAGGTCTTCTAGTATTTAGCCTTGAGAAAAATAAAAGAATTTGGGAACCTAACTGGCCCCTTCAGTCTTTCTGGACACACATGAGTTTCCTGCTGATCCCTCTGTTTTTTCTAAACCTATTCCAGTTTCTCTGATTTGTGGTGCCCAAGATCGGGTACAATATTCAAAGCGGGCACTGATCCAGGCAAACCAGAATGGGATAAATCCTCTCTCTCTCTCTCTCTCTCTCTCTTGCTTGTTGTTTATCCTACAACACACATTAGTTCCTTGACTTACCTATGCTGTTTACTCCACATCGGGCATTAATTCCTTGTCTTACCAGGAAGTTTGTCTCATCACCAATGATTCTTCTTTTGAAGAGTTACTGTGATTATTATGCTTGTGTTTAAATCAGCCTCCTCCAACCTACCCCCCCGCCTTTACTTATTTATATTTGAAGATGTACAACCCACCTTTCCTTCAGGAGCTCAAAGCAGCATATACAGGGTTTCCTTCTCTCCTTTTTTCCGCACAACAACCCTACAAGGTAGGCTAGGCTGAGAGAGAGTGTGAGTGGCCCAAAGTCACCCAGGGAGTGTTAGCTACAATCTGAGGAAATTTTGGCAGAAGCCGTTTATGACTGGAAATGCAACCCAGATGCAGTTATTAACCAATGTTAGCAGTGGCCTACACTGCAGGGGTGTTGTCAGCCATTCTCAGTCCCAGCCTGTGATAGGAGAAAAATGGTGATGGTGATGATGATAACAATGACAGTAACAATCCTTGAGGGCTGTTGAAAGCTCAGCTACCCACCCCAAAGACCCAGCCGGCAACAGGATAACATATTTTTATTAAACAGGATTCTATATAATTCTTTGGCTGTAGAGAATCTTCCAGAGCTGTAGACCAAGCAGCTGGTGTGCCAGAGGCAACAGAGGCTGAGATATGAAAAGCAGGGGGAAATTATTTCCGGCATATTCATCTGCATTACTATATAAGCCAAAAAGGAACGTGTAGAAATTATCATTGTGGCCAATATTCTACTTTAAGCAGAAGTAATGCTTAAAATACAAGCTTCTCATAGTACACTCTGTAAGCTTGTCTGGGTTGTGATCACACTGAATCTGTATGAGAGAGATATTGCCACAGAAACGATATACAGCAGTGTTTCTCAATCTTGAAGAGGTGTGGACTTCAACTCCCAGAATTCCCCCCCCGCCCCCCACTGGCGGGGGGAGTAAGTGGGTTGTTTGAACCCCCCCTTCCACCGGATTAACAAAAATGTTTATCGAGTTTCCGTGGGGAAATACATC